GTGTGTGTGTGATTGTGTGTTGATGATATGTATGGTGTGATAATAGTGTTTGCGTGAGGCCATGTTCAAGGAGAAGCTCGGTGCGACGTTCATCCCTGAGGTCAGGCGGCTGAGCCAGCCAAGACACGCACAGACTGTCATGCATCGCATCGCATCACACACACACGCCCCTCTCTATATCTCTCCTCCGCCCTTGTCGGTCGGTTCAGACCGTCCCGCCCCACTTCTACACAAAGAAGCCCTTCATCGAGTCAGTCAGCAGACCAGCAAACCACCACGTTGCCACGTCGCCTGTCCATGTCATGTCCCATGTGTTGTGTTGTGTTGTGTTGTGATGTGTTGTGTGTGCGCGTGTGCAGTTGGCTGATGGACGCCAACGACACCCTGATGGACCAGGAGGCCAAGGACATCAATGCGCACGGCACATCTTCGGCCACCAAGCACACCGCCGACCCCTCCCAGCCGTCGCCGCCCGCCACGTCGCCCTGGCGCGACGTGCCGGAGGACAAGCGCCGCGACGACTGCAACGACTTCCTCACAAACGACATCCGACTTGACGGTGGGGACACACATAATGAGGGAGGGACGACAACAAACCGACCGCCTGTCTGTCGTTCCTTCGTCTCGCCTTCTGTCCCTATGAATGAATGAATGAATGAATGCAGATTGGCTGCACCCTTCGGCCCCCTCTGTGCAGCCATCCCCCACCCCAGCAGCCAGGAAGCCTTCTCGCGCCAAGAGGCCGCCCGAGGAGTCTCCCGCCCTCCCCCCAACCCAGAAGCACGAGTTGCAGGCCGAGTTCAGTGACGACGAGGGCGACACGCCCAACAAGCGCCGTGTGGAGCGGCAGGACACCAATCAGCTGGAGGAGGGGCAGGGTGGTGGGGAGGATGGTGAAGGTGGGGAGGGTGATGAGGATGACAAGGGCGGCGAGCAGCATGACGATGGAGACTTCGGTGTGGGTATTGGTGTGGATGACCATGGTGAGGAGGAGGAGGACATGGGGGTGGAGCCTGAGGAGCCGCAGTATGACGTGGAGGACCAGGAGGACAACTACTTCGATGAGGTGAGACGGAACAAGCGTTGAGTATGCCCCGAGCGGATGGATGTGTATGTCTGGTGATGTGTATGTCTGGTGTTCGTTCACTGGCTTGGCTTAGGGCGATGATGCGAAGGGCTCCTCTGCCGCGGGCGATGCAGACGACCTACTCGCCGCGACTTGACAGACAGATGCATGTATGTCAAGACGCGGACGAACGTATGGCTGCCTGTGCCAGACAGGCAGCCAGTAAGGCCGTTTCGGTGTAGAGAAGAGTAGCAGGTGTGGTGTGTCTGCGGCGAGTGGCACTGATTGACCATTGTTCTCTGGTGGTGGCTTGACATCGATACATGAGCTTCACATCTCAGTCAGGACGGCACCCTCATCGCACAAAGGCTTGTTGCGGGGAGGGCACCGTCCTGGCCGACGACGAGAGGACGTGTCGACGAGTACAGGCCACAGCCGGCCGAGTCAGTCACTGTGTGTATGTATGTGTGTGCATCACACACCCGATATACATACAGATCGAGACGAATGAATCAAGGACGGACATTTGTCAGTCAGTCAAATCTCCCGCCTGGCACCCAAGTCAAAGCGCCCTGTCTGCTGTGCTGTCTGCACCAGACAGCCCATCCATCAATTCTCCAACCCTCTACTCTCAACACGGCCCGTCACACCAGTCTGCTTGCCGCAATGCATTGACTGTGGCTCGTGCACGCAGCGTGATGCCCAGCGAGGCATCTATGGGCGGCAGGAGGCCCGCGAAGCTCAGCCCGCAGAGGCTCATGTACGTGTGCAGCAGGTCCGGATGGCACCTGAACCAATCAGTTGATCAACCCATTTGCGAATGACAGACAGACAGACACTGCCTGCCCTGCTGGCCTTCTTGCTTACCCAGGCTCCCTTGCAAAGCCTCCCTTAGCATGTTCGCACTGCCTCAGAAAGGCCACGGTGCCCTCATGGGTCAGAAAGGCCTCCCCTCCCGTAAGAATCACAGCAGCCTGCACCCAGAACGAGTAACAGGCATCAGGCGGCTTGCCGACGCGGCCCTCTATCCCACTCATGGCACTCTGCCGCATCAACAGCCACTGCAACACACGCTCGCGGCCATCCAGGTCGGCCAATGAATCACCATGACAACAAAAACCATCCAGCAGGTTGGATAAGGCCGCGGTAGCGCAGTAGGTCGACCCCCCGTGTCCCTCCAGCCCCTCAGCCTGCCCGAAGCCGCCAAGGCGATTGAGTGAGCCCTCGATGAACCGCACCGTCTTGTGCACATCAAACACATCAGCCGGGCAGAGGCCTGCCAGCCGGCAGGATGCCGCTGCGCAATATACGAACCTCATGTCCGCATTCGCTTCTGTTGGAGAGAGAAATGGCCCGCCAGCAAAGCATCCGTTGGGCAGCTGCTGCTTCGCGATGAAGTGCGACAGCCTCTCACGATCCAGCCGCCTCATTCCATCACCCAGGATCGTCAGCGAAGCCAGTGCCGTGTAGGTGTTGGCCGTCGAGGGGAATGCATCGCCCGGCATACCGCAGAAGCCGCCCTGCGGTGCTGCAGACTGGCATGAGTAGATCCAGTCACAGATGGCGCGGTTTTGGTCACCATCTTGCTCCGGAAGGGCGTGCAGAAGATCAAGAGATCCAAGGATGAAGTAGAGCAGGGTCATGCGGTTGGATGCTTGGGTGGCATAGGCCGATGGGAGGTGGTGGAGAGCTGCCAGCAGGTGGTTGCGATGGGTCTTGAAGCGAAAGGCGCAGCCATGGTCAGGGCATGAGGATGCCATTGCACTGATCTCCGGCTTCGATGAGTCTGCGGGTATCATTTTGTCAGCATCTTCCATGGCAATCACCTCCGTCGGCGTACGCGGGCATGTCGCTCACTGATACACGTGTGCGCACAAACACACACACACACACACACACAGAGAGAGAGAGAGAGAGAGAGAGAGAGAAACAAACGGTATGCACCCTGTTGTGTCCTCCCCAGCTGTTCCAACCAATCACATACCTTTTTTCCCTCGTCCGGCAGGAAGTAGTCCACCGTCTTCTTGAAACCCTCCGGCCCATCCCTTGCGAGTGCATAGACACAGGCCACCATGATGCACATGTCCTCGTCGAGCTTTTTGATCTTCTCCTCTGGGTTGGTGAAGTTCCCCTCCCGAATCTGTTGGCGCCACCTCTTCTCCGCCGCTGCTAACTGCTTCTCGTTCACAGGGTACGTTGACTGCTCAAGCTTCACCAAGACCATCCCCATCGTGGCGAATACAGCGAGCGATCCCTTTCCTCTCCCTTCCGCAAGCTCGCACGGTGAGCTCGCAAGTGACCACGAAAGACAACATCGTAAGGCGGGAGGGCTGCCTTCTTTTCATGTCTGCAAACGCAAGTAGGCACAACCCACCGCTCTTTTTCGTGATTCACGACACACACAATTCATGCCCACCACATCAAGGAAGACCAATAAGAAGCCAGGCGACAGGATGACACACAGGCTGTCCATGTGCTCTTGTTTGGCCCCTTGAATGCACCCCCTCCACCCCCTCCCTCCCCTGTGTGTCTTTGTGTGGTCCTCAGTGCCTGCCAAGCGACGTCAGGGCGGTAGTGAGGGGGCGGGTGCGGCGGCCAAGCAGAAGAAGACGGAGCAGGGGCGTGAGTTCGACGCCAAGTGCATCAACTCCATTCGATGCCTGGGGGCCGACATGCCATTCAAGGCCAACTCCGGACACCCCGGTAGGTAGTAACTTCAACACACGCAGAACCTCATCGGCTATGGCTGGCTGTGTGTGTGTGTGTTTCTTTGAAAATGTCAGGTGCTCCGATGGGCTGCGCCCCGATGGCTCATGCGCTGTGGGGCAGCATCATGAACTACGCGCCCAAACACCCCGACTGGATCAACAGGGACAGGCAAGCCAGTCACACTATCCTGGCAATGGCTTCTTGCTTTCATTGCCGTCTGTCTGTCTGTCTGTATGTAATGGTGCGTGGTCCATCCACTCTCTCTCTCTTGTGTCGACCAGGTTTGTGTTGAGCAATGGTCACGGGTGTGCGTTGCAGTACGCCATGCTGCACTTGGCGGGCTACGACCTCTCCATCGACGACCTCAAGCAGTTCAGACAGCTCCACTCTAAGTCAGTCAGTGACAATAACAGACACACGTCTATGGACGTCTGTATAGGGGAGGGAGGGAGGGGGACAAAGCATGTGATGTCAATGTGCAATGTTTGGTGATCGAATTGCGTAGGACGCCCGGCCACCCCGAGTCCTTCGTCACGCCTGGCGTGGAGGTCTGCACCGGACCCCTCGGCCAGGGTATGTAAGTACGCATGTGTTCGTTCGTTCATGTGTATCGATAGCTGCAGCACCAAGATTGATCCCTTCATTTGCTTGAATGGTCGGTCGGTCCTGTGTGTCCGCTCCGCCAGGCATATCGAATGCGGTCGGTATGGCGATCGGTGCGCACCACCTGGCGGAGAAGTACAACAAGAAGGACCTGGAGATCTTCGACAGCTACGTCTACGCCATCTGCGGCGACGGATGTCTCATGGAGGGCGTCTCCTCAGAGGCGTGCTCACTCGCAGGTCGGTGCAGCCAGCCACGTACACACGGACAGCGCATCGATGGCTTGGCTGGATGTGTCGATGTGCAGGTCACCTTGGTTTGGGTCGGCTGATAGTGTTGTATGACGACAACAAGATCAGCATTGACGGCGATACCGCACTCGCCTTCACCGAGGAAGTCAACCAGCGATTCAAGGCCTACGGATGGCAGGTCAGGCCACACACACACACACACTCCGCAGACAAGACACACACTCACAATTGTGACTGACTTGTGTGTCTGTGTGTGTGTGTGTGCGTCCACATGTCTGTCTGTCAGACGTTGGAGGTCAAGCAGGGCGACGTCGACTTCACCAAGATCGTGGATGCGGTGCTCAAGGGCAAGAAGAACACCGGCCAGCCCACACTCATCAAAGTCACCACCACCATCGGATACGGATCCGTCAAAGAGGGCACCGAGTCAGGTGAGCAGAGCAGGTCGCCATGCATCCATCCCATACCCCCACACACGTGTGACACGTGCATCAGTTCACGGCGCGCCTCTGAAGGCCGAGGACATGAAGCAGCTGCGCGAGAAGTTTGGCTTCGACCCCGAGAAGACCTTCCATGTCGAGGAGGACGTTCTCGAGTTCTACCGGTCAGTCAGTCAGCAAACAGACCACCTCCTCCCGTCCCCCCAACACACACACACTTGCATGCCATGCGCATGAATGGGGGCTGTGTGTCTATGTGGGGTGCTTAGTGGCAAGTGCGAGGAGGGCGAGAAGAAATACGAGGAGTGGCAGGCGCTCTTCAACAAGTACTCGCAGCAGTACCCCGAGGAGGCCAAGGAGATCACCCGCAGATTCGAAGGCAGACTCCCGGACGTATGCAAAGCACGCGAGGCCTCCTTACCTGCCGATCTCTCTCTCTCTCTCTCTCTGTGTGTGTTCCTCGTTCGTTGGTGCATGTGATGTGTATACGGTGTGTTCAGAACTGGAAGTCGCTGATGCCCAAGTACACGCCAAACGACGCACCCGCGGCCACGCGCAACCTGTCGCACACGTCCCTCAACGCCGTCCACTCGTTCCTGCCCGAACTCATCGGGGGCTCCGCTGACCTCGAGGGTGGG